GGGGGGGAGGGGGGGTTCTCAATGACTTCTCCAGAAGCGGAGCTCCAGGCCTTTCTTCCTAGTTACCTTTAGTCTGGAAGCTTCCACTGAAATGTGTTCAGTATCACGGCAACACACAGGCCCCCATGGACCTGAGGAGCCGGGCTGGGAGTCAAGCCCAGGTCTCCCACACCACAGCTAGGAATACTACCAGGCAGCCACCTCTACCACCAAACCAGTTTCTGTGCAGCTGACCAACTCAGAGCAACCCCACGTGTGTCAGCATGCAAAGGCTCCACAAGGTTCTCAGTGGCTGGGTTTTTGGAAGAAAAGCCAGACATTTCTTCCAAGGCCCCTCTGCATGCACCTTTTGGTCTGCACCCAAGCACACAGACTGTTTGCCTGGCGGCTCTGTGTACCTGTCAGGAAACCCTGTTTGTAACGCTACCTTCCCAACCACAACCAGCAAGGAAGGCTGTGACCAAAGCCCAGCAGCCAGGTCTACACCTCTGTCCAGGAATCTGTCCTCACAGAGGTCCGGGATCATCTCTCCCTCATACTGGCTGCTGGGCCTGCCACCTGGGCCAGAGGGGCTCTGTGGGCGCAGCTGTGGGGGCTTTGTGACTAGGCACATTTGCATCTCAATCGCCCTGATTAATATTTAAGGAGCCAGCTGTCTGAGCCCAGGGCCAGGGAAAGGGGCCGCCTTGTTCCTTTAAAGGGTGGGCACCTGACAGGCAGCCGAGCGGGGCTCGTCTCCCGTACAGCTCTCACCCTCCAGAACCCTTCTGGAGGAAGAAACTGTGTTACATCTCTCAGGGACCCTCTGTGTCTCGTCAAAGCCCCATTGTGGCACTGCACAGCTGTGTGCTGGGTCCAGCCACCACTACTACTCCCCACAAGTTGTTTAGAGCACGCACCACCCTCTGGGGAGGAGTCCCAGTCAGCGCCCTGCCCGACTGGGAACCCTAACTCCCATCACTGTGCCCCCACACACACTGGCCACTTGGGAAAGCGGGCAGTTCAGTAAAGTGTCCACCAGGTCAGGCCACTCTGCTGACCACGGTCTCCCAGCCCCCCACTCTGCATGCTGTTCAGCACCTGTGAACCCTCCTACCCACTAAGAGATTCACAGCCACCTGGAACCTCAGAATGGGGCTTTCCTTGGAAATACTGCCCTTTCAGGTATACACATGCTTCTTAAAAGTTCACGTTACGACTTTGCTTTCACGAAGACCTTTATTAGAACCTGATTTCAACAACCAGGAGAAATCCAGAGAGGGTTTTTTGAGGGGGAAAGGGGGGGTAAAGTGAATCTGGCATTCAGCATTTGTTTTTCAGGGAGCTTTTAGTGAGGGAGCCCCCCAGAATGGAGAACGGAACAGTGCCGCATTTCTTCCACTTTGAAGGCCGTGTGCTTATCACAGAAGGAGCTCTGGTAGCGCAGTGGTAACAAGTCAGGCTGCTAACCACACAGACAGCAGCAGTTCAAGTCCACCAGCCGAACGTTCCGCAGGAGAAAGACGAGGCTTTCTGTTCCCGTAAAGATTTACAGCCTCAGAAAAGTTCAGGGTCACTGAGTTGGAACTGACTCCATGCACACCAGTACCAGTGTTCTTGCGAGTTTTCTGTGTTGTTCAGTTTAAGGGAGTCCTGGTGAGGCCATGGTTAAGTGCCTGGCTGCTAATCAAAAGGTTCGTGATTGAACCCAGCAGCCGCACCGCGGGGGGAAGGATGAGACCCTCTGCTTCCAAAGATGGCAGCCCCCTGCAGGGGCACCGTGAGTAGGAATCGGCTCACTGGCAGCTGACTTTGGTCTGCCTTGATCAGTAATTTTGGGGGGGGTCTGTGAATGCTCAAACTATTTTCCTATATAAACGGATGTTGATAGCTCCTTTGCTGTGCGCCATTGCGGCTTCTGGAAGGTTTCACAGTCTGTACAGACAGCGGGAGGGGCCTGGAATCAGTTACTTTAACGTGAGGCCATAGGAAAGCCGGCCTTTGCGGTGAGAAAAGACAGGAGATGAAGGTGTGAGGGTGGAGGCAGAGCCTGGGGACACCTGGGGGCCCCAGGAGCTGCCGGAGCCCTCCAAGAGGGTGTGGCATGTTTTGGAATCCAGACACCCTTGGGTATAGGGGTGCTGAACCCACAAGTAGGCATCTCCTGGAGTGGGGCCAGTGAGTTGTGGCCACAGAGAAGAAAGCTGTGGCCTCTGAGCATGCGGAGACTGTGAGCTGGTAGCTCGTGTTATGGAAACTGGAAGAGAAACAAAGTCCCCAGAGAGAGAAAGCAAGGGGACTGAGGAGAGAGCACATCCCGAGTGGGAAAGAGGGGCACCCAGAGTCCACAGAGGCCTGGTGAAGGACCAAAGCTGATGGTGCCTCCATACGTACATACACATGCACACGTGCTGAACATGCATGTCCGTGTGCATTCACAAATGTGTGTACATGGCAACCATACATGTCCATGCACAAGCATGTATAGGCATGTGCGTGAATAAGTTGTGTGTGCACACGTTAAGCATATGTTCACATTGCATACATGTGTATTAGCACATGTAGGTATGTATTGCATGACGCATGTGTGCACAGATGAATATGCATTCAGTGTGTGTGTGACAAGCACACATGTCCACACACATAGATGGTGCGTGTGTGTGCACACACGAACATATACGCATGCACACATTCATGAATGTGTGCGCATGGCAGGCACACATGCCCCCACACAGATGTTGCACATGTGCACACATATATGGGTGTGTATACGTGTGTGGGCATGTGCATGCATGTGACAGGCATGTATGCTCCCAAGTAGATACTGCGTGTGTGTGCGCACGAGTGTGTTCACATGCATGAGTGTGTGCATATATCTGTGACAGACATGCATGCCCACACAGATGCTGCACATGTGCACTCATACATGAGTGTGTACACATGCACACCTTCGTGAACACATGCATGTGACAGACAAGTGTGCCCACACATAGCTGCTGTGCATATATGCATGCATACACATGTGCACATTCACACACGTTGCAGTCATGCTTACATGCATGCACACACATCAC